AAAATCATTGCGACTGATAACAGTATCATTAAAATATTTCTTTCTTGCTATTGCTTCTAATGTACTTATGAGGCATCATGTGATTTTTTTTGTTGCTTTGTGTGACCCTTCCCCATGGTATAACCCCTGTTTTCTTTGTATTTGATGTTGGTATAATTTGTGGAGGGGAAGGGAAAAAACAAATTGTTTAAATAGGGATACAGGTTGACCCATTGCAATAATGAGATGTATAAGACACTATGTTGAAAAAAAACTTTACGATTTAGGTCGGGGGGAGAGAGTGTATTTGTGGAGATGGGAGGAAAGGGATGGTAGGGGAAAATCAAAGGAGGAGGCAACAATGCTTGATAAGAAATGTACTCATTACCTTGCTCATGTAACTGTAACCCCTCTGTACAATATTTTCACAATTAAAAACTTATTTAAAAAAAGCAAAACATATATAATACAAAATGGGTTGGGTGGGATGTGTTAGTTATCATGGGGAAGCATATAAAGCCACATTTGGCACAAGAGGAACAGTGCACATATGTAAATAAAACAGGTGGAGATGACTACAACAGGACATGAAGGGGATAGAAAGTTCTAGAAACCGATATGTTTCAGAAATTTGGTAAGGTGACAGAAGAATATCAATAGGAAGCCTGTAGTTTGAAGAGGGGTGTAAAGTACAGATCATGTGGTTAATATTAATTTATAAAGGCTATATGAACCTGATATAAATTCATGTAATTGAAATGAGTTTGTGGAGGTGTTCACTAAACATGTTTGGAACACATTGAAATCATTAGGATTCAAGTTTCTTTGTCACTAGACGATTTATACATGTATCCTCCAAGTTATAGACCTACAGACTACTTGGATTAACAGTATTTTGAAGATTACGTTTCATGGAAACCATTTAATTCAACTTTTTAATATCTCTCTGAAAAGAAAATAAACTAATTAGTTTCTGTGAATGATCAAGGCTTTAAAAGTTTACAATTGTACAAAATTGATAATATTGTTATTAAATTTTATAGCTAGTTTTAGATCCACAAAGAAGAGTTTAACAAATGTTAGATGTCAAGACTTTGTCACAAAGTCACAGTAATAAATAATTTTCATTTTTCATTTTATTATTGCCTGATGGGTATTGCGAATTTTCAATACCAATTGATAATATGGAAATCCTACAGTAGGTAAGGATACTTACATTAGCAAATGATTAAAGAACCGATAACTAAGTTATTAATGGAATCACGATCTTGAATTATCTCTATATGATAGTCATTTACAAGGTAAAAAAAATAATATTAGCTACCCAATCTATGTTAAATCAACTAGAATCAATTGTAATTCTTTATACATTTGTCTTTTTTGTTGTTGTTGTTGGTCCTGGGGCTTGAACTCTGGGCTGCCTGGGTGCTGTCCCTCAGCTCTTCAGCTCAAGGTGAGCGCTCTACCACTTGAGCCACAGCACCACTTTTGGTTTTCTGACGGTTTATTGGAGATAAGAGTCTCATCGACTTTACTGCCCGGGCTGGCTTTGAACCATGATCCTCAGACTTCAGCCTCCTGAGTAGCTAGGATTACAGGCGTGAGCCACTGGGACAAGGCTACACGTTTGTCTTATAGGTAGTAATGTTCATAAATAGGATAGCCTTTAAGAGTTGCAAAATTTCCAGGTGGGAATCAGCATGTTTTTTATAATCAGTCAACAGATATTTATTTAGGACAGACAAAGGACTGTTCTAGCCATTAGAGATCTGACAGTAGGGCTGGGAAGGTCCCCTTGCATGCATGAGCCCTGGGTTCAACTCCTCAGTACCACATAAGCAGAAAAAGCCAGACGTGGCACTGTGGCTCAAGTGGTAGAGTGCTAGCCTTGAGCTGAAGAGTCCCGGGACAGTATCCAGGCCCAGAGTTCCAGCCCCATAACTGACAATAAATAAATAAGTAAATAAATAAATAAATAAATAGTTAAGAAATACCTGTTTATATTTATAAAATATAGTTTTAGTGGAGAGAGTCTGTGGGAAGAAAATTGGTCCATAGATAGCTTAAAAACAATACTTTTTTATCGAAAACATAGCATAAATCATTTAAAAATGCTAAAAGTTATTGTGGAGAAGAGTTTAACACTGTGATCAAACACTTCTCCTATAGGTGAACTGGGAGTCATCCATTTCTGAAAAGGAAGGCAGAAAACAATCCTTCCATTGCCATTGGCTATTTACCACCACATAGATCAGTGATTTTTACATGCTAAGGGATGGGGGTGAAAAGGTTCCCTCTCCTCCTCATTGTTTTATATCCTCTTGCCTCTGTCCCCTGCTCATTCCAATTTACCTACTCTACCTATGCTCCTGATCACCATCACTAGCGAATCTGATGTCATGAACACTGGGTTGGACATAAGGATGGTTTAAATAGCACTTCCCCCTTTGAGAAGGAGGGACACCTAGCAATAAAGATCACAGAGGTTAGAGCTGAAGAGGGACAGGGTTTGAATTCTATACACTGTTTATGAATTCATTGATTTGGAGGCAGCACTGTTAACCTTTCTAAGACTTTATTTTCATGTGTAATCTCCAATGAGATTAACTGATGTTATGAATGTAAAGCATTTAATAAGGGTCTAGAATATAGCAAATGCTTAATGATAAATGATAGTAATTATAATTACAGCCTCATTTTCCTAGCATATGTGGTGTGTGTGTGTGTGTGTGTGTGTGTGTGTGTGTGTGTGTGTGTGTTATTAAAGTTTAAACTCAGGGTTTTGTACTTGATAGGCAGACACTTTACTTAAGCCATATTGTCAAATCCTTCTCAGTTGAGTTATTTTTTTCTGGATAGAATTTTGCATTTTTATCCAGGGCTGTCTGCAGTTTGATCTTCTTGTGTATACCTCCTAGGTAGCTAAGATTACAAGTAACAAGCCACAATATGCGCTTGTTTGTTGAGATGGTAACTTGCTAATATTTTTGTCCACTCTGGCCACAAACTGTGTTCATCACAATCCCTGCCTCCCAACTAGCTGGAATTGTAGGTATGTACCACCATTCTGGGCCCTAGTCAGTTATTTTCATATTTTCTTTTTTCTTTTTTTTTGGGGGGGGGGTCTGGTCATGGGGCCTGAACTCTGGGCCTGGGCGCTGTCCCTCAGCTCTTCAGTTCAAGGCTAGTACTCTACCACTTGAGCCACAGCGCCTCTTCCAGCTTTTTTCTTTTTGTTTATGTGGTGCTGAGGAATCGAACCCAGGGCCACATGCATGCAAGGCAAGTAAGTGCTCTACCACTGAGCCACCTTCTCAGCCCTCATATTTTCTTAATATAGTGTTTTTAAAACAAAAGCATTGAAGTCAGACCATCTGGATTAGAATCACATGTTTACCAGGTATAAACTTTGTGCCATGAGACACATTTTTGAATTTTGTTCTCTTTCCTTTTATCTCTAAATTGGTTAAAATAAAAATACTAATTTTGTTAGATTGTAGTAAGCATTAAAACATAAGATAAGGAATATATAATGGTTTAGTTCTTAGCTCATGTAAGTGCCAGTTTATAAATCATATTTGAGAAATGATAATCTTAGTAATTTCCAAAACTTTTGTTAAAAACCACATGGTTAGACCTCACCTAGCTCTACTATTCTCATGATTTTACAATCATGTAAATTTGTATGATTTGAACCAAAGGATTGAAGTGAGTAGTGAGCTTTCTATCCATTAGACAAAACTGAAGAGCTTTACATATCATCTATTGTACTTAAAGGATCAATGGAAGCAAATATACTGTTTTTTTTTTCCAGCTATCCCAAAGAAAAATTCATGTGGTTGGCCTGATTGAGAAAGAATAAGATAACCAGATAATTGTTAAATCTCTCTTTTTTTTAGTTGAATGACAACTAATTTTCCTTATATTCTTTTCTTTCTTGTTTTTTTGCCTTTTCTTTTTTTATGATATGCATTATTTCTAAAATCTAGTTCTCTTTCCATTCATTACTGATATATGAGTAGCAAGTAAAAGCTGGACAGGCACTGGTAGGCTCATTCCTATCATCCTCGCTACTCAGGAGGAAGTTACCTTGAACCTGATGTTGGCTGGCTCATCCCTGTAATCCTAGTTACTGAGGTGGCTGAGACCCAGTGGACTAAAGTTTTAAACCAGCCTCAGGAGAAAAGTTTCCAGGGACTCCATTTCCAAAATACCATTAAAAAAGCCAAACTGAAGGTGTGGCACAAGTGGTAGATTACCAGCTATGCAAGCCAGGATAAGTACATATTCATGTTGAGATGCAACTTCAGTACCAAACAAAAAGAGAGAGAAAAACAAAGCTAGTCTTAAAGGATGAATAGGTGAATAGACAAATTATTTAATTTTGAAATAAATCTTGTAAGGGTTTTATTTATTTATTTTGTCAGTTCTGCACTCAACTACATGAAATATTTTAACACAGGGACATGTGCTTTTTGTTTTTCCCCTACCAAAGGAGGAAGTAACAGTGCTCAATAGGAAATGTAATCATTACTTTACTTATGTAACTATAACCCCTCTGTAGTGTATCTTTACAATAAAAAATATATATATACAAAAAAAGGACTAGCTCTAGACCCTGGTACAAACCTATTTCTCCATGTGACCTGGCTTGTGAGCCACCATGCCTGGCTTATTTGTTGAGATGACGTCTCATTAACTTTTTGCCAGTCTCAAACTGTTGATAGTCCCTATCTCTGCCTTCTGAGTAGCTGAGATTACAAATATATACTACCAGGCCTAGACTTACAGATTCTTTTGTCCCCTTTATTAACCCATATATTTTCCCCAACACTATTAATTTCAGTACCGTTTTCAAAATTCCAATCTTTAACAAGTAACTATTTAGGACAAAAGTTATAGTTCTGATGATATAAAAGCTATTTTTACTAATCACTTTTGTTGTTGGCATTAATCCATTAATAATCCACACTGGTTATGTAAACTTTTTGTCATATTAGCCAATTTCTTTCCTTTTGTAGCTGGCTTAAGTCCTGCTGAGATCCAGCAGTTATGGAAAGAAGTGACTGGAGTTCACAGTATGGAAGACAATGGCATTAAACACGGAGGGCTGGACCTCACCACCAATTCCTCCTCTACTACCTCCTCCACCACTTCCAAAGCATCACCACCCATCACCCATCATTCCATGGTAAATGGACAGTCTTCAGTCCTCAATGCAAGACGAGACAGGTAAGCCTTCACAGCTACATACAGTATCTATCCACCACCACATTTCAGTTTCATCGTTAATCGAATTAAAAGTAAAAAATTATACTCAATGAGGAAAAAATGCAGAGAACAAGTTAAGTAAGTATTGTTCGATGATCTCATGTGTTCTTTTTTCTTATTAGAAAAGAAAGCAGTTCAAATGTCAGTAATGTAATAGAGGTGGTTGGTGAATTTTCCTGAAGAAATATATTTTTCCAAGTGCATATAAAATGCTGTATCCATGTATGTTTATGACTATCATGATTAACCTGATTTATAGGAGAACTTTTAACCATTTTTCAGACTAAAGTCCAGTTTCTAATTTTCTATTAAGTAAAGATTCATGAACATGTATATCCTCCTCAGTATATTAAACATGCTCTTAGAAAATAGAGAGTAGATAAACATTGATAAGTAATCTCAGCCATAAGAAACAAGAAGGAAGAACTGGGTTTATTTTTTGTGTTTTTTTTTTCTGTCAGTCATAGGGCTTGAACTCTGGGCCTGGGCACTGTCCCTCAGCTCTTTGGCTCAAGGCAAGCATTCTACCACTTGAGCCACAGAGCCATTTCTGGCTTTCTGGTGGTTTTTATTGGAGATAAGAGTTTTACAGCCTTTCCTGACCAGGCTGATTTTGAACTACTGTCCTCCGAGCTCAGCCTCCTGAGAAGCTAGGATTACAGGCATGAGCCATGGGTGCTCAGCAGAACTGCTTTTATTTATTGTAGTGGCATGGTAGAATTTTTAACACATAAAAATGAAAACATATTAGCCATTGTTTATAAGCCTTTCACTAACAATCAATAGAGAAATAATTTGATTGTGAAAACATTAGATACATTGTTAAATTTTCAATTTCCTGTTTTATTTTTGTTGTTATAAATCTGTTTGTAAAAGGAATATCCAGGAAATTTTGTTCATGAAATTTTATTAATTTAGAGGTAACACTAGCTAATCAAATCCTCTCAAATAATTCATATGAAGCAATAAGCTAAAATACTGCTCAGAATGAAGTCTCTTTGAAAAGATGAAAATTCATTGGAGACTTCTGTTATATGATGGGGTAGGTTCACTTATAGATCCATGAATTGTATGTAAGTGTAGTGGTTCATAGTGATTTGTTTTGAAATTAAATGTATCAATCTACTTTACTCATATGTATGTATATTTCATTTACAGTTTTGTTATAAATATTTTTTTCAAAGAAACAAAGATTTAATGAAAATATAGTTTGAAATATAAACAGTGTTGATGGCCTCCATTGAGGAGGTAAAAAAATTCATGTTAGCTTTTTTATAAAATGATATACTTATGAACACTGTCATGTTATTGTTTTGAGATTTACTTGAAAATAATATATTTCAAAACTTAGTTTTCCTAAGATTCTTTATACAGTATAATAGTTACTTGTCAAAAGCCTACAGTAATTAGGTAGAAGTATAGTTAACAAATACTGATCCAAAGTGGCATATTGAACCAAGTATTAAGATATATATGGGCCATACATAAATATTAAATTATTTTAATAATTTCAATGTCCTCCACATTTATATCTTCTTTAAAAAATATCTCAAAAATTTGATGATGTGTGCTAGTGTTTTCTTAAAATTTTTTTTATACTTGAACATATAAGAATGTATATTTTTTTATTTAGAGGCAAAATGTTACATGAAGGTCATATGGCAGAATTAGCATATGATATTATACAATCCTCTTAGTTTTTCTTCCTTTATTAACAGTCATCTTTGGCTCTCTTTCTTCTCTAATTGGAACATCATCTAGCCTTGGCAGTTGAACTATTCAATAGAACGATTAAATTTTTCTGACTGCTCTGAGCTGAATTGACCTGTTTTGACCTGTTTGTCACTGATCGTAACCTGACAGGCGCTAGCAGCCTGCAACGATTATGGCTTTTTGAGATGAATCTGACGTCCTGTTCTTTTGCTGCAGCTCGTCACACGAGGAGACTGGGGCCTCTCACACTCTCTATGGCCATGGTGTTTGCAAGTGGCCTGGCTGTGAAAGCATTTGTGAAGATTTTGGACAGTTTTTAAAGTAGGTTTTAATTTTAGTTTTTGAGCGGGAGACACATTGTATGGGAGTCGTAGATATGTCATAAATAAAGATGAAGGGGGCTGTGGAAAGATACATGCAAAAATGTACCAAGTTTTCAGTGAGTTCCAACAAGTGGATTACCCATGTTAGAATCAGAAGGTGGACACATCATGGACATGTTTTATGACCATCTTTGATAAATCTTCAGTAAGAATTTTGAAAAAGAAGGGTCTATTATGGTAGCAATATTAGTCACGGGCAGACATGTTTTTAAGGTAGGATACCCTTAAATTTGAATTTACACTGAAAATTCCGATCATACATGTGAATGCATAAAAATCTCTCTATGTATTTCAACAGACAGGTGTATTCTGCAGGTTTATTTTTGAATTGTGAATTTTTTTATTCTCAAGTTTAAACAATGATATTTAATAACAAGTATGAAAACTAGAAGTTAATGGTATGCAAAACTTAAATAATTGTTTTACTTCTTTGTCCTTCATGAAACTAAAAGTAGTATACATGGCTGAATATTTGCTTAATTGATTGTATATAGCTCAGCTAATTTAAAATCAAAGCTTTGGGAAATCTTACATTTTTTTCCCAACAATGATATTTGATTTTAAAAGATTTTTACGGGGAGTCTTTCAAATGAAAATATTCATCTTTCATGAATCATTTCCACCCCCATTCTGGCATAGGAGAGATCTAAGTAAAGAGCTTCTCCAGACAGAGCTTATGGAGATGAGTAACTATGCAGACTGAGACTCTTATGTTGTCATGGAGTAGCTCACAGGGTGAATGAACTGTTTCATGCTTCATCAACAATTAAGTTAATTAGCTCATTTGAAATTGCACTGCTTTGTTGCCAGGATGTTGGCAGAAACATCAAAAAGATGTGTTTACAAATGGTAGCCTGACTACAGCATAGACAGCGAAAGCACCATAAACAACCAGGCGCAAGTACTTGGCATTATAAGAACTTTATAACTGATTTACAGTGAAATTTCCACAAGAATTTTTTTTAACCATTCATTGTTTCTGACCAATTGAAAGAAAACTTGCTTCATGTAGCACAACGGATTTTTGTACATGGAACATTTGCATCTATTAGATCAAAAGAATAGTGAGCTGCCATTTTACAGGAGGAGAGGAGGTAGGAAAGTCATTTTCCTGTTCCAAGCGAAGCTAAAACAACAACAACAACAACAACAACAAAAATGCAAGGTATCTTTGCTGAATATTTCCTTTCTTAAAAGAATACAAGATAGGAGATATAAATAATCATAACAAGTAATTTCATATTTCCTTTTTGAATAGGTTAATCTTCATCAATATATTATCTTGTTTACTGTTGTTTATATAAAAACTGTACTATTTCACGAGAATGGTAATTTATGTAACAAGACTTATAAAAGTTGTGCATTTTGTTTTGCTCCAATTTGCTTAAAATACATCTTTTTTGCACCCCAATTTTTTAAAATAAAACTCAAACTTCAGTGGTCCATATCTGGAAGCTAATAAGCTCAAGGCCAGCCTGAAGGTGGTCCCAAACTAGCCTCGGCTATAGAGGGGAAACCTGTAATAATAATAATCATCATCTTTTGACACTGGAAAGAGGCATTTTTATTCATCTCAAACGATTTTTTTACTACTAACGATGAGGTGAATATAAACTCTCCTTGTGTCCCCCATGGTCCTTTCTTATATTCCTGCCAATGGTTTCTACTTTATTATTTTTTTTCTTAACTGAAGAAACTACAATTAAAAAAGCATTTCCTTTCAATTAAATATCAACTTTGGTTTCAGAGAGTGACCATTTTTCCAACCCATTAGCTTCATAGGGATGACAGAACTAATGACAGTAGATTTTTAAGTTCTTTCTTTTAGTCTATTTTTGTTATGAATGTATATGCATTAGCCTCTTATTCAAAGATCTGTGATAAATTCTATAGTAGAGCAAATGTCAGTATACTGTAATAAAATGAAATATTAATTAGATGCCTTCTCCTATACTGGTACATTCTTGTTCCTAAAGATGTACAAGAAAATTCGAAATTAATAAGACAATATAGTTTAGAAATGAACTAACTTTATTCTGGGAGAAAGTAATGAAGATGTCACCACCTATGCACACGGTCACAGAGGAAGCTTCTTTTATTGTAAGGAATGAGAGAACTGAGGATGGGCAAAACCAAAAGCCAGAAAGATCTTTACTTTCAATTTTCCTGTGTCTGTCCTCACAAAATTTTATATCTAATTTTATTAAGTTTTTAAGAAAAATAAGTCTTTTTAGTTGTAAAATATACTAGAAATGCATTTTATAGTATCAGTTTTAATTTAACACTTAAATGACTTAAAATGCTTGAAATAAAAGGAAATGATCTCTATTTAGCCTATTTATAGTAAATAATGAACGCTAATTTAAAAAAAATACAGTATTTCAAATTTCCTTTCTCATGTTGCATGTCTAAATGAACTCCAGAAACTCTATTTGCATGGAGTCAAATGAAAATTCATCACCAGGCGCTGGTGGCTCACGCCTGTAATCCTAGCTACTTAGGAGGCTGAGATCTGAGGGTCGCGGTTCAAAGCCAGCCTGGGCAGGAGAGACTGTAAGACTCCTATCTCCAATAAACCACCAGAAAACCGGAAGTGGCGCTGTAGCTCAAGTGGTAGAGCGCTCGCCTTGAGCTGAAGAGCTGAGGGACAGCGCCCAGGCCCAGAGTTCAAGCCCCACAACCGACAAAAAAAAAAATGAGAATTCATCATATAATAATCCCTTATTTGTGATACAAGGTATGCTTACATATATTAATCATATAATATATATATATTTTTTCAGGCACTAACTATTCTTATTCACAAGCATTCTAATTCACTTTATTATATAATTATTATATCTACCACATATTCTTGTTTATTTCTACACCATTAACTAGACAACTTTCTGTTAAACAAAAAGGATGAAAACTAAGATAGAAGTGTTATGCATAGCAATAACATGAAAAGGTAACAACATGAGATGTAAAAGGCAGTCCAGACTTACAACATGTATACAAATTTTGAATTTTACTACTAAATTAGTACTCACAGGAGCTAACCATTTCTGAGGTTTTTCACAGATCACTAAAAGCATTTAAGACTACTTTTTCATTACTGTCTTATAAGTGTCAAAGTGTAATAACATCTGACAAAACTTTAGTGTAGTTTGACTGCAAAATTAATTAGCATTCCAGCAGACCTCAGTCAGCTTGAAGCTAGATGAACTGACTTTCAGAGCCTAAGCCAAAAGATTCAGAATGTAGGTTTCCAGTTAGCAGACAAGTGTCCTTGAACCTGCATGCACACATGCCAGCAAACAAAACATGATCTGAGGTGAAAGATGAAAATACTCTCCCTTAAGAAAAGCAGAATGGTTGGTGTCCATAAAGGTATCCATGCAAACATTAATAACTTAATGATGAACTAGTTCATAAAGATAAATGAGTTAAGTTGGTTAAAAATTAAAATTTTAAGACTTGATAGCATGTAAAGAGTAATAAAAAGACAGTGGAAACAATGGCTTATTTAGTGGGAATGTGTTTCTTTTTTCTTTCGACTGACTATAAAACACAATGCCCTTTCTTCCTGTGTATTGTCTATTTCTTTGTCTTTCACTAGGCAGCATGGCTACAAAATTATGACCTCAAGAAGGCATTCTTTGAACTTGTCAGAATGTTGTTTCTTTTGGTGACAGTGCCCCCATCTCTCAAAACTAAGGCATCTCACATAATCAGCTAAATGAATAGTGACAGCTAACATTTTGTATTTAAACTCCTGTCAGTGTTTAAACATAAAGAGCTTGATGCAAAATAAATCAAACACCAGTGATATGCAAGTGAAACATTTTGTTAAAACAGCCCTGACATACTTGGATCTAAATCTGATCCCTTTTTAGCTTGTAAAAATGCTATAACTTTAAATGAATTTGAAAAATCTAGAGGTTAAAATTGAATTGCTAATCTGCAGTATATATAATTGAAGTTACTGCACGCATTCATAACCATAAAAGCCTCATTAAAGAGAATTGTGCATTAAATAAATTGGAAAGATACTTTCTTACTTTTTTGTCTTCCTGAAATGCCTGCTTAATTGTTTTTAGAAAGACTTTGACTGCCTATTTATGTTTTTCCCCAGTTCATACTACCTGCCTAGCACGCAGATTCAATGCAGTTTTGAAAGAACATCAGTCGACCACATCATTTATTCCATTTTGAAAACAAAAATCAATATACCTATAAAGTGACCCATAAATTAGAACTGGCTCACACGATGTTTGTTCAGTGCTGCCTTTCTGAAGGCCCCCTTTGCATTTTTCTTCACCTCTCTGTTTGAACTGCAGTCTCGGTAAGAGGCTCATTAGGGGACATTAGGGACTGGAGCTAACCAGAATTCCAGAGCTTGCTTTGCTCTTATTAATGCATAGTAGAGTAGAATGCATTTAAATATTTCATAGGCATTCAGTAATTTGTGTGTAATCGCCTTGTTAGCAGACCAGTAGAAGTAGAACAGGCCTGTGAAATGGTGTTAGTGATTGCATGGGTAATTTACAGACCTTTGCCATCAGAAAGAGTATTATTGTTGGCTAGTATGAAGCTGTGAAACAGAACTAGCAATAAGTAAAAGAAGAAACTTAATAAAGGTTTTGTAAGGAGAGCATCTTTAAGGATAACAACCCCACTTGGTCCTTTTGAAGCAGCCATAATTTATGACATAGGCAATATATCAAACGTGTAAGGTAGCCTTATGGAGCATTCGTATGAAAAGGATATTTGCAACATTAGTTCCAACTTCCTGCAAGGGACATGATTAAATGATTAATGAAATGTCCCTTTGCATATGCATTTTGAAACAGCAATTAGGCACTGACTGAGAAAATCCACCAATCCTCTCATTTTTCAGTATTATCTTGTTCTTGATTTATAAATCATAGAGAATTTTCGAACAGCAATACGCAGTACCTGAGATAGTTAGAAAAACATAAAAGAGAATAATTTGGGCACAAAACAGTCATAAATACATAAATTCATCATTTAATGTTAATACTTAGCATATTTATTTAGTCTTATTGCATTGTATTTATATCCGACACTATTTCTGTACTTTGATTGGCATAATTAAGTAGGGGGATGAATAGGCACTATTATTTTACATATCACTGGTAAACAATAGCTAGGAAGGGAGAAGGGAGATATGGCAGAGGTATGTATGTGTTTTTCAAGTTCTCAGTAATCCACTGGAGGCTGTTCTATAAATGATCATTGAAGGGCTGCAAGCTAGCCTATAATTACAGGAAAGAAAGTGGCAGCTCTGGCATTTCATAACTATGTGTCCTCGAAAAGTGCTTTGTGAGTTTGTCACCAATGATAATTTAGATAGAGGCTCATTACTGAACATCACAACACTTTAAAAACCTTTCGCCTTCATACAGGAGAATAAAGGACTATTTTAATGGCAAGGTTCTTTTGTGTTCCACTGAAAAATTCAATCAAGACAAAACCTCATTGACTATTATTGTAGTCTACAGTCTCTATTCTAATAAAAGCTGCAGAGATAAATTGAATAGGTCTCGAAGACCCAAGTATATAATGCAAACATTTTGCACTTTTTTTAGTCCTTTAACTATAAGATAATGATTACCACGAAGAAGTAAACAAGTATCTTAAAAAAACCTTTTTAAAATGATTTCATGTAGAAATAAACATGTTATGGTGAATGCCCTTTTTCTTGCTAGGCTGTGTCTTCTATCTAACTTCTTCCTTTCTTTATTGGGTATAGCTGAACCATTTTTTAAATAGGATTCTTTAGATTTATTGTGGGATGAATTATGTGTGTGTACTCCTCCAGAGTTCATGATTAAAAAAAAAAAAGTCTACTCAAATATAGTAATAGTAACAACTATACAATCAGTTTCCGTGTAAGGCTGCTAGACCCTTGCCATATTGTTCATTGAAATTGGGGGCGGGGTCTGAAGGACAATTCTTACACATGGCTTTGCTAGTTAAGAATTAGTTACAGATTACACCATGGGCCAACTCATGTTCCACACCTTCTTTCCAGAGAGTGAAATGAAATCTAGTCGTCATCACAATTAGTTTCAATGAAGTAGTGGCCAGAACTGAACTGAGAGCAGTCAAGTGGATGGAAGTGCCTGTCTTACTCTCCACCCACGTATCTCCTGCTTGGCCTATTCTACCTGGCTGTGATAGACCAGAGTTTCTCATCAACCAACACTCAATTGTATGGAGATAAATAGAAGTTTGTTGTCATAATCAGTGAGGATGTATTCAAACTAGTCTAATGTATCCAAATATGGGGCAAAAAAGGATCGATGGCTTCTGGTGGGTGAGCTTAGCTAAATCTACTAACAAGCCCACTTGTTTATATGCTGCTTCCTTCTTAGCAATGGTATTTTAATTCTTTTTCAAATGTATCAAGTATATGAATGTCCACATGTTTATTCTGCTCACTTATTAATTTTAAGGAATATAAGTAAAGAAGTTGAATGAACACACAACCATGTTTATTGAATTCAATATGCTCAAGACTATGATAAAAATTTTAGACTCTAATTCTAAATGAACTTATTAGGAAAACATATGTGCTCTTTAATTTTTGCATATTTTGTTTAGCATATATTTTCACTTTTTAGGAATCACTGAGAATCTATTCAAAATTTTTTATTATCTTTAAAAAGCTGTACAAAGGAATTGCCATTTACCAATGCAGTTTATAAATACTATATATCTTAATCCATGTCACCTCTTTCAATATTTTCACTCATCCTTCCCAACCTCACCCCTTTCCTTACTCTTCTTAATTTTGTAGGATATGCCCTGGACTCGACTCCTTTCTTCTCCATTTGTCTACCCTTTTCCCTTTGACCCCACCCCACCCTTTTCTTTTTATTTTTGTTAGTTTTTTGTTGTGAAAATACTGTACAGAGGGATTACAATTACATGAGCAAGGCAATGAGTACATTTCCTATCAAGCATTGTTGCCTCCTCCTTTGTTTTTCCCCTACCATCCCTGCCCTCCCACCTCCACAGCTACACTCCCCGGCTTCCTTCTTCCTAAATTGTAAAGTTCATTTTTCAACATAGCATCTTCTACACCTCATTGTTGCAATGGGTCCACCCGTATCCCTATTTAAACAATTTGTTTTTTCCCTTCTGCTCCCCAAATTATACCAACATCAAATACAGTGAAAACAGGGGTTATACAGTGGGGGAGGGACATACAAAGTACCAAAAACAATCACGTGGTACCTTATAAATCGGTTAGAAACAATAGCAAGAAAGAAAAAACCACTTGGGGCCTTATCTTGGGGTTCATTTCGCTTAACATCATCTTATCTGAGCTTTTCTACTTGTCTCAGACATCTACTAGTTATTGTACTCTCTACCTGGTGTTTTATTTCTCTGAACTTTGATTTTGTTTTTCTAAAGAATTGTACTATTTGAGGTCTGCCTTGAATCTACTGTATTTCAGTTAATACATTTGTATACATTTGCATACCATGTATTTACTCATGACTTTGTAAGCTAAAGCTCACTTCCACATCTAAGAGAATTGCTCTCTTAGTTTTGTACACTGATAAAATAGACACATCAAAAGATATTGAATTACTTGAAGACTTTTTTTGGCTTTGTTTTGTTTGTGGGGCTTGAACTCATGGCCTGAGCATAGTCCCTGAGCTTATTCTGTTCATTATTAGCTCTCTACCACTTTGAACCTCAGCGCCACTTCTGTTTTTCTGGTGGTTAATTGGAGATGAGTCTCAAGGAGTTTCCTGCCTGGGCTGGCTTTGAACCATAATCCTCAGCTCTCAGCCTTCTAAGTAGCTAGGATATAGATGTGAGCCACTGATGCCCAATGAAGATAATTTTTTGGATTTTGAAAGCCATCAAATGAATTATGCATTACAAATTACAATGTACATATTATTTGGATATTTTCAAGTTCATTAGAAATACTGCTCTACTAAATTGTTGTACTATTCAATAGAAATTTCTTCATATATTGTCTAACAATGGTGATAAACTAATATATAATAAGAACTAGAGTAGGAGTGTTTTAATGATCCATCCTTCTTTACTTTTATTTTTATTTTTTATTTATTTTTATTTTTTGTCAGTCGTGGGGCTTGAACCCCCAGGTTCAATTCGTGGGGCCAGGGCGCTGTACCTCAGCTCCTCAGCTCAAGGCTAGTGAGTGCTCTACCACTTGAGCCACAGTGCCACTTCCGGTTTTCTGAGTGGTTTATTGGAGATAAGAGTCTCAGGGATTTTTCCTTCCCGGGCTGCCTTTGAACCATGATCCCCAGATCTCAGCCTTCTGAGTAGCTAGGATTACAGGCATGAGCCACCAGCACCTGGCTCCATGAGACTCTTATCTCCAATAAACCACCAGAAAACTGAAAGTGGAAGTATGGTTCAAGTGGGAGAGCTCTAGCCTTGAGCTGAAGAGTTGAGGTACAGTGCCCAGGCCCAGAGTTCAAGCCCCACGACCAACAAAAAACAAACAAACAAAAAATAAACATAGGAACAACATCATTTTTCAAAGAAAAATGGAATAGAGAATTACCTTTGTTCTCTTTAGAATTACTTTTGGTTCCTATATGATATCCTTTTAAGACATTTTAGTAATGTATGAAATGCATCTTGTAGTTTATATTATTTGGGGAAATATGATATATTTAGAAATGACCAATGACATTTTTAGCCCTTTATATTACATGAATAAGTTTCACCAAACATTCAAGCATGAATAACTTTGCTTCTGTACCAATTCAAGGTGAACTCACAGGAACCTGTGAATTCAATGTAGTGCTATTTAAATGGACCACATGCCATGAGACAGGCATTAGTGATATTAATTAATGTCTTGCTTTGTGTCTTGTGTTTGTGTAGGCACCTTAACAATGAGCATGCATTGGATGACCGAAGCACTGCCCAGTGTCGAGTGCAAATGCAGGTGGTGCAGCAGTTAGAAATCCAGGTTTGTCAAATATTCACTCAGTGAACTCCATTGCCAGATTCCGGCCTACGTGGAGCAGATGCTCAGGCTTTCAGGCCACAGTGCGTTATCTTGGAAACACAACGTCTGATTGAGATACATGGAACTTTAGTTGCTTTAACAATAGCAGTGATTGATAACTTGGGGGAAGATTGATATAGTTTGATGTGCTATTGCACTTAGACTGTATCATCTACATTTGGATACTGTTCAGGCTATAATAATTTTCCATTGTTTGTAGTGTAAGTTCTACCAAAACCCCAATAAGATAAAATTTTATGGAAGATGGTTTGTATCTGAGTTAACCTTGATTCCCCCATAAAAGTTATTAAGACCAGTCTTAGTCATAGCATGTCTATTACAGCCTAATACTAGTCTATAACTTGCAAGAGTTCTCAGTATTTGCCTTTAACTACAGTAATGGATAGTAATGTGTTTTTCACAGATGACAATATATGTGAGGAAAGATGCTGCTCTTTTAAGTTTTTAAAAATGCCATTATTATTCAAATAGAATTTGGCCCCAAACTAAACAGATTTCAAAAAACTGATCAGAAAGCATAAAAATCACCCGAAGTTATGTTTTACAAATTCTTTAAACCTTTCTGCTAACATTTCATCTTATTGAGATTATATTTCTCAAGCTAAAACTTTCTTTGGTTTAATTAAGCATAGGATCTTTTTTCACACTTTTGTCTTCGATTTGCCTCAATCTCATTGGGCTGCTGCTTTATATCAAAGAAGAACCAAAATTATGTTGAGTTGTAAAGTGATCAAGTACACAGGGGTAAAAAAAAAAAGCATCATCCCTTGCTGTCATGTGGAAAGCATTTTGGGAAACTTGTTTACTATGTCTAAAAGGTAGATTAAAACATAAGTATTCAACTGATGAGGCAGTTTGCCGTGTGACCAATTATGCCTCTCAGATTCTTTTTTTTTTTTTTTTCATCTGACTGATGGAAAAGTAAGGTCCGTCAGTTGTAATGAGAGCCAGTACAAGTGTAGATTCCGACTCCGTGGCAGAGTTCAGTGTTTCACACTGCCTGGTCTCTGTCACTCTATTGAATTAGATTGATGATAGCAGATTGCAGGGGGCACTATCTGGACCTCAGTGGGAATGCATGAAGTGTGTAGACAATCCTGGCAGGCACTTCGCTTTGAGAACCCTTCACCCCTTCACAGCTGCTGGCACTAGTCCATTGCTAACAGTGTCCATAGGACTTTAAAGAGACACCATGGGCCTTCTAATTTATGGTTTCGGTAACTTGTTACTGTCGAGGCAACTGTGACCTCAATTCTCTTATTGACAAAAAGATGAAGTGTTATTTGTTTTCTCTGACCTTTTAACATAAGGAAAGCTATAAAAGTTTTTCACCCCCACTCCGTAGCTAAAGTTACATTTCCTCCCAGCGAAAGTTCCTACTGACACAGACTTTTTATATGCAGGAATCATTACTCTGAGACAAGCTCGATGATAAGATGTATCACTGTGATAAAATAGCTGTATCAGTCATTTCTAAAATGCTTCTGATCTCACTCTTTCTTAACAGCTTTCTAAAGAACGCGAACGTCTTCAAGCAATGATGACCCACTTGCACATGCGACCCTCAGAGCCCAAACCATCTCCCAAACCTGTAAGTGCATATTGCTTTATAAACAGTAAATAGCTCTACCAATGTAACAGACTAAGAAAATGAACAATTTAGTGACAGTTAGAAAACAATGAGTGTGATGAAAAATATGGCAATAAAATGAAAGTAAAATGCAATCGCTTGTCAAATTGTATGTTTCTTTTAAAGTAATGCTATCTTTTACAAAATCTATCCAATCTATACCATGGGTGACACTAAACAAAGTACACCTATCAGTGCACAAATCACCGCCTTGAGGCTGAAGCCAGGGAGAATATCTTTCTGTGATAGGTTTACAGATATTAAAAGGAAACCCACTTTGAGCCACCTGAAAGGCAGTAACACTACCAATCACAAATAGAAAGGTATGTGGTATCTGACAGAAGACTGAGATCAATCATAAGATACAGATAAATAGATTTTTTTTATCAAATACTTTGTCAAAAGTAGCAGAGTATTTTTATAGCCAATTTCGTCCTATTTCTTCAGTTGTTATGTCAGTTAAGATGTATTTTCACATATTGATAGGTTTTACTATATATTACAACATAATGCTAATTTAGAGAGCTTTTTACCAGGGAAAATGGGTGATCATAGAAAATAAAAACTGCAGTTTCTCTGAAACATACATAAGACGTAAGCGCAACCTGATAATGTAGTCAGATATACAGGCTATGAAAAAAGGAAAGAATGTACTGTGTTATCTCACCGAGCTGATGTTTGCACAGAAACTTAGAGTAATCAAGTTGGGTAACTCTAGTTTAATGAAAGTTTGTGGGATACTTTTCAATAAAGTCTCATATAGCCTAATGATTAGTGATTGTCAGCCTGGCTTCTCTCTCTATTTCTTTTCAAGGAACATTTGATTTTGTACTGGGAACGTAATGGAAAGCAGAGCATGTTGTCAGATTTTCTCCTGGTATCTTGATATTGCTGGCCAATTCATATTATTCAGAATTTGCCTTTTTTTGCATAGAGACTCTATTTATTTAACCTCTGCTAGGGTATTTATTTCAAGATATTAGAGTTTTTTTCCTTTGTTCTATATTTAAGTGTAGGGTACTGTAAACATATTTTTAATGGAAAGAGACATATATCTTTTTGAGCTTGATATACAACATTATAACTCTAGAAAGTCTGTATGTATAATTTTAAAAATAAACTTCTGAGAATCTTTTTGATCTGGTATATATGACTTTCCTTTTCATGAGAATTATTATTTTTTGCTTCTATAGTATAATGTAGATAATCACAAGACAGAATAATTGTCTCATAAATCCATCAGGAATCTGCAGCTTGTTCTTTTCCAATTAATTATTCAATCAGTAAATTTTTTAAAACTCCAGCAGCATGGTTACATCTACACTAATAAAGAATTTTCAGCCTATAATCCAAAACAGAACCTGAATGAATAATGTAATTGAAGTATTACATTACATAAACCACACATGAAAGAATTGCTAATTGCGTTTGATGGTGGGCAATTAATACAGAATCTTAGATGAGCGATTTAAAATGAAACCACAGTTTAAAGTTCCCTTTGGAAATAGTGATATCTGAAGTGAGGAAACTATAGTACTGGCCTCAAATTGGTTTGAAAGAAGAGTGGTCAATACTCATACCCCTCAAAAAGACCCTAAAATTTATACACTGTACAAAAGAAGCTTCAAAATTGATATGATAGTAGAGATTTATGGTCTCATGTGCAGTGGCTCAGTTGAGACGGCCCACACATTTGATAAATATTAATAGCATGAATTTATTACCAAGGAGAAATGAGCTCTGTTGGTTCATCACTGCACCCTTAACAGCTATCAGTACATGAACACAAGGTGCAACCGCACTGTCTATTATATGACCCCATTTACTCTCTGAATGGTACTTCATTAAATGGTACCTTTTGGCCATGCTATGGATGGATGAAAATCAAAGTTATCAAGGCTGCGAGTCCTGAATAATGAGTTTCACCCAACCTTGACTATATTCAGATGAGCCGAGGTAGCTAAGTGCTCATCCTGGCTTTTACATGCTTCCCTTTAGTTAATAATAAATTCTATTTTATCAGTTTGTGATTGCACGCCTACAAACATGGTATGCTTATTATGGCAGGATGCAGAATAAGTTACCGTAATGTTGTAAACTTGAGTAGTTTGTATAGAAAAGATGTACATCTCTTGGTTTGATAACTTTTAATGTGTTCATAAAATGTAGAGTCCCACTGAGTATTCATCAAGCTAGATATTTCATTGATCTGCAATTTGGCTTTTTTTTCCCCCTTTGCATATCTCATTTTATGCTTCCTTACAGCGAATAAAAGTGAATTCTAAAACTGAAGGTGTAACCATCCCGCTGAGGTTTTAGTTTTAATTTTTTTTTTGTTTTCATGTATGTGGAAGTTTTTTTTTTTTCTTTTCATGTTTCTAACATACAGATATGTAGCCCTGATGATAGGGTCTAAGTATAGCATTCTCAACTATGAATATGTTGGTTCTGGTGTTATTTTGTAACATCATTTGAAACATCTCTCCCAGATGCATGTGCATCTTTCTGCATTTCTCCAACTAAGCAGAAGCACTCTGGCACATCCTAAGGAAGCTTACACCAGTGGCTTTGTAAATGCATTAACTACAGCGTTTAGTAGCATTATCTCAGCTTTTATTTATGTACGTAACAAAGAATTCCCAACCCAGTCTGCTGGCTTAGGCTAGGAACAGAATAACAGTTTGTGGTTTATTGGGAACAGATGCACTTGGGGATGCCTTCAGGGTGTCAGTCGTTATTATTAGACTGCTAATGTGCTTCTTCTGGCTGCTGCCCAAGAAAGAAGAACAATTAGCTGGCATATGTTAATTTTTGTTTCCCTAACAAATCTCTCTACTGACTAAATGTGTAAAACAAATCCACAAAGAAAGATCAATCAATGCTGTACACATCATTTTCTCCCCATTAAAAAAAGGTTTATCTTAAGAAGTGTATTTGGGATTTAAAAAGGCAGGTGTTACTAAATTATACACAAAAGCTTGAATATTCTCTAATTTAGCCACTCAGCAGTTACTTTATAAAGCAGCAGAAAGATTAAGATTTGTCTTCTTGCTTGGATATACAGATGACTGTATGAAATCAACAGGACCATAGCTTATGTCTTACAAGTACCATTTCAATAGACACATATATGGGAGAAATCTTATGTGCTGCCCTGAGTAAAGGTTTTGCTAATGGGATGCTATTTATGACAAAAGATGTGTGGTAAATATGACAGAGGTGGGATGAGCTTTTTGATAATGAAGAAGGGGGCCTTTCTGAGGGAGGATGGAAGGGCATACTGTTAAACAGCCTGCATACATTCTCACCTTTTTTTTTTTCTTTTCTCTACCCTGACACCCACTTTCCAGGGTACATCAGCATTAAGTGACACTGTAATCATAAATTGAAAATGATACTTCCAGAGGAATTGGCAAACTTGACATTTCATTATATTTGTTAACACATGCCACAAATGATTGTTAGTGAGGAAATTCCATTTCCCTCTCTCCATCTCCAATCAGATTTAATTTGAAAATTTTCAGCCTCCTCCGGCTAATTTGCAATTAAGACAATTTTGTTTGAATATGTAGTAATGTCATTACCATTCCACCAAATTAGCAAGGAGACTAAAGGTCAGTGTAAAATTTTCCAGCTGGCTGGAGCCTCTCAGCTGAGATTTGGGACTATGGAAAAAAAAATTTCTGGCAGCAACAGAATAGCAACTTACTTTAAGTCGTATTGGTTTAAACAACACACACACACACACACACACACACACACACACACACACACACACTGCATTCTTCATTATTCTTGTTGTTGTTGCTTCACTTGGGGCTAGACCTGTTTAACAACAGGGGCAGTCAATAATCAGCAATTGGCTTTTATTTAAGGAAATAGACTGTCGCTGAAGTCTGGTAGGACAAGAAGGAGTTAGTCCTAAGTAACATTGCAGTAGATTATTAGATAACCTCTAACAGCATCCTCTAATTAGAGTTCTTATGATACAATTTCATCCTGTAATTAGTTGAGATTGGCTGCTTCCTTTTGCAGCTTATTAGTGGCAACACAGCTGTAGAAGTGAATCTACTCTCATTTGTCAAACCTTTTTAAGTCTTTTTCTCTTGTCTCTACCTTTTTCCTGCCCTTCTCTTGGGTCTTTGCAGCTAAATCTGGTGTCTAGTGTTACCATGTCGAAGAACATGTTGGAGACATCCCCACAGAGCTTACCTCAAACCCCTACCACACCAACGGCCCCAGTCACCCCGATTACCCAGGGACCCTCAGTAATCACCCCAGCCAGTGTGCCCAATGTGGGAGCCATACGAAGGCGACATTCAGACAAATACAACATTCCCATGTCATCAGGTAGGCAATGACTGTTCAGTAGAACTCTTACTTGGGGAGAGGAAAAGTGGAGCTGAAGCAACTGTACATGAGCGGTTCCAGAGCACATGGGAACTCAAGTCATGATTTATGGAGTGATAATTGTTTTATTCCTG